TGAAAGGACCTTTCCTTGGACATTTCCTTTTAATGACCTCAACTCAGCAAAATAAAAAAAACTGGTGACTGGCTGGTGTGGTGGCTCACCCCTGTAATCCCAGCACTTTGGGAGCCCACGGCAGGCAGATGGCTCAAGGCCAGGAGTCTGAGACCAGCCTGGCAACCATGGTGAAACCCCATCTCTACTAAAAATACAAAAATTAGCCGGGTGTGGTAGCGGACCCCTGTAATTCCAGCTACTCGAGAGGCTGCGACACAAGAATCGCTTGAACCTAGGAGGCGGGGGTTGCAGTGAGCTGAGATGGCACCACTACACTCCAGCCTGGGTGACAGAGCGAGACTGTCTCAAAAACAAGCAAACTGTAAACAAATAAAACTAGTGACTATGTCAGATTCTGATTTTTTTTTTTTTTTTTTTGAAATGTTAGTGATCTGAGAAATCTGAAAGGCTGGGGCCCACTGAGCTAGCTTGTACGAGGCTCTTGGTGAAACCTGGCCTAGGGTGGGGGTGGGGCAATGTTTTTTAATTGAGAGATGAATCTGAACAGCTGGAAGCTTCCCTGGGCTTGGGGTGGCGGGGAGGGGCTGGGTTCTTGGTCCCTGCAGCCCCAGCCTAGGATATCCCTAGGAAACCTGAGCAGAAGGAACATTCACGTAGCTGTACTGGGAATTCTGAGAACGGCCCAGGGGCCAGTTCCCCATGCCACACGCCATCTGCTCATCCCTGACAGGAGCCAGGAGGAAATGTTCCCTTAAACCGCACCTCTGCCCCTGCCCAGCACCCCCAAGGCTGGTTCCAAAATAGTCCAGGCCTTTGGAGGAGACATCATGAGTCGGGCTGGCTGCCTGTCCCCTGAGAGGATGTGGCAGCAATGCTGTGATAGAATATAGAGGGACAGTAGATGCTGACAGGGGCCCTGGGGCCGGGAGAGCCTTGCATGCTCCATGGTGCCTGCCCCACCCCCATCCATTCTATGCCCTGCACCTCCTAACCTGGACAGCTGGGAGGCTGGCACCCCTCTCCTGGCCTGGCCCAGCCCAGCCCACCTGGGGACATGTCCTAACAAGCCCAGGCAGAACAGAAGCCTGGCCTAGGCATGAGTGTGGAGACACCTCTCTCTGGGGACTCAAAACATTTTATAAGCTTAACTTCCCACAGGGCACTTCGAGATCAGGAGCCCAAGAGGAACCGGGGTGTCTGCGGCAGAGCCACTCCTGCTGTCTGTTCTCAGCTTCCGAAGGAGAACAGGGCCATAAAGCTGGGGTGTGGGAGGCTGAGAGGAGGGCAGGAAGCCAGGCCAAACCCCAATAAACTGCTGGTTGAATCAAATCACAAATAATGAGTCCCGATGGCCAAGGGTGCCTCCACCCTCCTCTCCTGGGAATTAAAAGTCAAAGGGCAGACTGCTGACGCAGATGTCAGGGGAGACAGGATTGGAACAGCTGGGACTCAGCTCCCGACTGCCCGAGGTTGCAGGCCCCAGTTGCCCTGGACATGGTGTCCCCCAGGTGGGCCCTTAGAGCTGCATTCTCAACTCAGGCGCAGGGAAGGGGGCTTAAAGGGGGCTCCGCTCCCTCGCCCTTCCCCTGCCCTAGGCACAACAGAACTTGACTCAAGTTTAATCAGGCTGCTCTGAAAACTGTCGCCAGATGACAGCATGGGAGAAGCAGTTGTCAGCTTCTCTCCCTCCCACCGCTGTAAGAGGAGGACAAGACCTCTGACTCCGTGTGGAGGGGGAGCCTGGCTCCCTGAAACCTGTTGCGCCCCTTCCCCTCGGTCAGCCCCCGCCCCGCCGCAGGCAGACCCTGGGCGGCTGCACCAGGTCTGTGCACCAGCGGTGACCCCCAGTGGTCAGTGTGGGACTTGAACCTGAGCCTGGGCATGGCTGCCGCAGACTCTTCACCGCAGCCTCAGCCTCACGGTCAGTGACTTGGGAAGCCCTGCCCCATAAGTGGTTTGGGGATCGGATTTTGGTAAGGCTGTTGTTGGCTTTTAGAGGTATTTCACAGGTGCTGATTTTCCTAATTGAACTGTGGTTGGATCTGGGCCTGAAGGTCCCACGGTCAGCAAATCCATGTCCACATGCCTAAGAATGAATTCATCATCTTCTAGCCCTAAACCAGCTCCTCCTCCTGACTTCCCCATTTCTATTAATAGCACCGCCACCCTCCAAACCTCCGAGTCATCTTCAGCCGCTCCCCACACTGGGTGGGGTGCCTGCTCCTGCCCCTCCTCCCTCGCAGATCACGTCTGCATCCATCCCTCTCCTGGACACTCATAGCCTCTCACCTGCATCACTGGCATCCTCAACAATGTTGCTGGGTCAGACCTGGGCAGGGGACCCACCCCTCCTCCACTTACTGGCCTTGAGACCCTGGGCAAGTCACTTAAACTCTCTGAGTCTCAGCTTCTTCAGCTATAATGTGAGGCTAATAATCACAGCCCCTCTCTCATAGGGCATTGCATGAATTAAATGATAGGCTGGGTGTGGTGGCTCACACCTGTATCCCAGCACTTTGGGAGACCCAGGTGGGTGGATCATCTGAGGTCAGAGGACTCCAGAGTTGGCCTTTTGTTCTGGGTCCTGGAATGCCACGATGGTGGAGGAGTGGGGTGGAGAAGCCTCAATATTTCATAAACTTCCAAGTCCTTGGCTTTGTAGCATGTTGTAAAACTACCTGGGCCTCAGTTTCCCTGCTTGTAAAATGAAAGTGTACATGGTGAAACCCCATCCCTGGCCAACATAGTGAAACCCGTCTCTACTAAAAATACAAAAATTAGCTGTGCCTGTAATCCCATCTACTCCAGAGACTGAGGCAGAATTGCTTGAACCAGGGAGGTGAAGGTTGCAGAGAGCCGAGATTGTGCCGTTGCACTCCAGCCTGGGCAACAGAACCAGACTCCATCTCAATAAAAAGAAAAAAGAATTAAATGATAGAATGGACATGAAGAACTCTCATGTAGAAAATGCTCAATAGGTGTGAATTATTAGAAATCACCCAGTCCAACGCTCCCATTTTACAAGTAGGGAAACTGAGGCCCAGGTGTACTTAATTAACAACATGCTACAAAGCCAGGGACTTGGAAGTTCCTGAAAGCTGAAAGCTCCTCCACACCACCCCTCTATCATCATGGCATTCTAGAACCCAGAACAAAAGGTCAGCTCTGGAGTCCTCTGGGCCCGTGCCCCTGCTTTCAGGGCGGGGATGCTTGGGTAAGTGTGGCGGTCACTCAGCCACAGGAAGTATGTCCCGGGATGGGGTGACCACAGCTGGTGTCCAGCCGGCTGAGTCAGGGCCACCCATCTGCAAGGTGATGAGTGAGGCTCGGCACATGGGCTGGCATAGCTGCCTGCCTCAGGACACACAGGGGCGTGCCCACACGGCAGCTGTCCAAAAAGGGCAGCCGCCTCCGCCATTGGCAATCTTGCCCTCGGCAATCTCACCCTCACCTCCCTCTCCCCACCCACACCGAATCCCAGTCCCCTCGTGATCACATAGGGGTCAGAGGAAGGAGGGCAGGCTGATGTGGCCTCTTCCCATCTGGGTCTGCTTCCTGCTGGGCAGGTGTCCTTAACATTCTCTCCGTGAATAAGCATCTGGCACCCACAAACTCCTTGAAATTAAAGGTGGGAGCCTTGTTCCAGGAAGAGGGTCATAGCTGTTAATCAGATTTCAAAGGGGACTTTTACTCCCAAAAAGGCAATAGGAAGGAAAGCAAGTGGGCTGGGCGTGGCGGCTCATGCCTGTAATCCCAGCACCTTGGGAGGCCGAGGCAGGTGGATCATCTGAGGTTGGGAGTTTAAGACCAGCCTGGCCAACATGGTGAAACCCCATCTCTACTAAAAATACAAAAATTAGCTGGGTGTGGTGGCACGAGCCTGTAATCCCAGCTGCTTGGGAGGCTGAGGCAGGAGAATTGCTTGACCCCGGGAAGCAGAGGTTGCAGTGAGCCAAGATCATGCCACTGCACTCCAGCCTGGGCAACAGAGCAAGACTCTGTCTCTAAAAAAAAAAAAAAAAAAAGAAAGAAGGAAAAAGAAAAGCAAGTGGACAGGTTTTAGGATCAGATGATCCAGGTTGAAACAAGGGCCTATCCTAGAGTCTTTGGCACCTATTGTCTATGCCAGTGGGGGCATAGACAAATTGGGATGATTTTGCCCCCCAGGAATGTGTCTGGAGATATTGGGTGTGCTACTGGCCTTTAGTGTGCAGAGGCCAAGGATGCTGCTATGCATCCTGTAATGCACAGGGCAGGCCACACAGCAAAGAGTCTCCAAGCCTCAAACGTTAGTACTGGTGAGGTTGAGAACCGTTGGTTGAGGCATCCTGTCAAGTGAGGAAATCTGTGCCCCACAGCCGCCTTGGGGGTTAAGGGAGGCAATGTATGAGGAACCCAGGACTGGACCCAGCACACGCTCCATAGCTGCGAGGGATCTTCCTCTCCTCAGGACTTGGCCCGGGACATGGCAGCTAGCGGGCAGAGGTGGAGTAGGCACAGATTCTGGTTTTCACGAGGGAAGTTTCTGAAATGATTTTGATGTTCCTGCCCCACCCAGACCATGGCAGAGATTCTCTAGAACAGTCCCATGCTCATTTATCAACAAGGAAAACCCTGCCATGGTGGCTCACACCTATAATCCCAGCACTTTGGGGAAGCTGAGGTGGGAGGATCGTTTGAGCTCAGGAGTTTGAGCCCAGCCTGGGCAACATGGTGAAACACTGATCTGCAAAAAATACAAAACTCGCTGGGTGTGGTAGTGCGTGACTAGTCCCAGCTACCTAGGGGGCTGATGTGGGAGGATAGCGTAAGCCTGGGAGGTTGAGGGTGCAGTGAACTATGACTGTGTCACTGTGCTCCAGCCTGGGTGACAGAGGGGAGACCCTGTCTCAAGAAAAAGAAAAAGGAAAAAGCGGGCCCTGGAAGGAGCCAGCCACCGTCGCCCTCTGGACACTCACCATGCCACCACTCAGGCTCCAACAGGGTTCCATGTAACCCATCCCTGAGGGGAGAGGATGGGGGAGGGAAAGCACCTCCTTCAAGCTCCAGGGAGGCAGGAGGATTGGTTGAGGAGCAGCCCTGTGCAGAGGCAGGGGCATGGCAGAGAACACCTTGGGAGGTGGTGTGAAGCTTGAGTCCAGGAGCCACCAGCCCTCCCTGCCATTCAGTTTAGAGGTCACTTGGGTCGCTTCAGCCTTGACAGCTATGGGGTCAAGTGTCTCCTCTACAAAAATAATTCCCAAATATGTCACTGCCTTCACCCCTGGGACTGGCTGGTGCACCCAAATTGGCGTCACCACGCGGGCCCCCTTATAAGCGTTACCTTGCTGGCTTAACCAGACTACCACAGTGGGAGGGAACTGACCTGAGACCGCCTGGAGAGATGGGACCCCAAGGCCCCTTTTTGGTACTACTCACTTGTTGGGTCTGCGGGATTCAAACACACTCCCTGTCTCTGGGTCTCAGTTTAACAGGGAGATCACTACCTCCCAAACCTCAGTGCCGAGCGTCGGGCCAGGGCTGGTGCTGGGGCTCCTATGTCTGTGTCTGGAGACGCAGCTGACTCCTGACAAGCCCAGACACGCAGCTGTTCCTGCAGAGGAAGCAGCAGCCGAGGGGGAAGGGCCGAGCGCTGACGGAGGGGGAAGAGAGACCAAAGGACACCAGAGTGACTGTGTGCAGTGAAGCAAGTGTGAGCAGAGCCCCAGTCTCCAGGTCTCTTCTCCGGGGAAGCATTTTTGTCTTTATTGGAAATTTCCTGCCATGTGACACCTGACCTCTACCTTCTCTTCAACAGATGAGTTCTGCTGCCAATCCCAGCGGGCTGAGACACTGTGACTGCCCACCTGTCCCCGGGTAATCCTTCTACACAGCCCCGTCCCTTCCCAGGGATGCTCAGTGGCTGCGGCCACCCTTGCTTTCTGCCACTCAGCCCTTCCAAGGGCTCCAAACCCCAAGAAGGGCAGTCTGGGCCGGGGCTCCTGGGCTCCCTAAGGCATGATCCCATCACGAAATTTCCGGGCCAGGCCCTGAAGGAAAGGGGTCCTGGACCCAAAGCCTCCTGCTTCCCAGAGGCTCCACCCAAGAACTGTCACTTCTCCAGCCCCTGGCGCCAACTCCTCTCTGGCTTTCCTGTCATTTCCCGATGCCACAAACCTTCTGACATCCTCTTTCCCACTGAATTTCTTCCCCAGGCCCTTTCCTTCCCCAAGAAGCTTCACACTGGATGTTGCCAGCTGGTAGGATATGGAGAAGGCCAGGGGAGCTGTCTCCATGACCCCAGTGGGGGCGAGAGACAGAAGCTGCATCTGGAGCCTGCTGGCTGCAATTTTGGGCATTCATATTCACCTGAGCATCCTGGAACAGCCCTGAACCTGGGCATCAAATTCCCCAGGCTTGAGAATGGTGAGCACTTCTATTAGGCACCCCTTGCTCCAGGTCTATGCCCACTCCCCTGTGCCCACAGAAGCCCTGTAGTCCATGCTGGCTCTGGCTCATGTGGGTGTCCTGACTGCAGTAAGGCCGATGCGGCAAGGGTCCCTTTACTCTGCACTCCAGCTCCCCACCCCAGCCGGGGCAGCCTCAAACCTCCCACCCCCTCGCTGTGCCATGTATCACGTGGCTGGGATCATGCCCTTCCACCTTCTCCATCAAGAGGATCCGACAGCATCTTGCAGCTAACATTGGGGCATGGGAGTGAGGGCAACAAACATGATACTCACTCTTATGCCCTAATGTTTAGAATCATGGGGCAGAAAAGCATCCCAGAACTCATCTAGCCCAACTGTCATTTTACAGAAAGCAGGACAGAGAGAAATGAACAGCCTAAAACTCATGTCTACTCAGGTCAGCTGGGACAGGGGTCTGGTTTCCCAGTGTGGAGCCCACAGGGTCTGGATGTGCTGGAACTTGGCACGTCCCCCTGAGTTAGCTGCAGAGGTGGCGTGTGGGAGAGGAGGCTGGAGAATAGGTTTGGAGGTTTTGTCCAGGCACACAGATTCTCTCTCCCTAATCCTGAGCCCCTCCTTTTCTCCCTTTGAGCAGTAGTTATAAAATCCAGGAAATAAATGTGGATTGATGGCCTAAAAAGGGCTTAGTTAGTGCTGTGACCTGCTGAGTTACGTAACTGCTATTTATTACCAGCCTTGGATGAAGTTTCCATTGAAGCAACTCACTAAGCTGATTCTATGACATTTCCCTCAGCCTTGTTCAGAAGCAGCAGCCACAGAAATTCTTCTGAAACTTCAAAGACTAGAAATTGGTGGCATGAATGCTTTTAAAGATTCCCTTCTTTCATCTTTTTTTTTTTTTGAGATGGAGCCTTGCTCTGTCACCCAGGCTGGAGTGCGGTGGCGTGATCTTGGCTCATCGCGACCTCCATCTTCCAGGTTCAGGTGATCCTCCTGCCTCAGCCTTCCAGAGTAGCTGGGATTATAGACATGCATGACCACGCCCGCCTAATTTTTGTATTTTTAGTAGAGATGGGGTTTCACCATGTTGGCCAGGCTGGTCTTGAACTGCTGACCTCAGGTGATCCTCCTGCCTTGGAGTCCCAAAGTCCTGGGATTACAGGCATGAGCCACCGCGCCCAGCCCCTTCTTTCATCCTTGGAGCCAATGTTTCTCTCATCCATATCAACCCTGTTCACCTCAGCAACAGTCCCAGGCTCTAGGTCCTCAGGTCCCTGGGCTAGGTGGGGGCTGAGAGAAGTTGTATTCCTGCCTCTGGCAAAGGAAACGGGTTGAGAAGAACCCAGGGTATGAGAATCTGGAGCTGCCAGTGGAAAATGCACTGAATGAAGTCAAGATTCTAGTCCAACCTCTGCTGCCACTGTCGGTCTCAGCTGGCTTATTAGTAAAGTGAACTGCTTCCCTCAGCTGTACAACTTGACCTTCCCTAGTGCAGCACCCTCCTTGGTCTGGCTTGCTGTCATGCTGGGGTCACCAGCCCAGTGAGGATGAAGGGGAGGGCTGAGGGACTGGCAGGCTCTGGGGTGCTGGCAAGTAAAAGGGAGGAAGGTTAACACCAACATGGCGCCACCGTGTGTTCAAAAGGGAGCAGAGCTGGGCCTCTCCCCAGCAAGGCAGCTTTCCTCTCCCCAGCCCCTTTCCTGCTCTGGGAGGGGTGGTGGTGGTGGGAAGCCAAGGATCCTCCCTAATTCAGCTTCACCTCTCAGCCACTCACTTTAGTTGCCAAAGGAGCCCTTGGGAGAAGAAGCTCCCTGAAGGCTCTAATGCCATCCTAAAGTAGATTTTTGGAGGCTTCCAAAAGGTTCAAGAAGGAAAAGACCCAAAGGAAGTCCAGGACCCGGAGAATGCAATGGTGTCTCTCTTCCTAATTAAGACACATTCCTCTCATTCATGGATGTGCTTCCTTGAGGCCTCGGGACAAACTGGTGCATCAAACAAGGCCGTTGGTACCAAGTGGTGCAGGCTGCATGATTCCCTCCATTAAGGATCTGGGCGCGTTGTGAACATTGTGATCTGGCTGGGCATGAAGGCTGCTAGTCTGCACAACCCTAGCTGCATTGGAAGAGACAGCCCACCCTCAAAGGATGTCACCTTCACCACAGCCTTACAGGGCATCCAAGCCAAGTCTGTGCTTGTCACCAAAGACAACTGGGGACCCAAAGAGATGAAATGACTTTTGATGGAGGAGTGGTAGGGAGGGACTAGAATCTAGTTTTTTCTTCTTCTTTTTAAAATAGGTCTTGCTATGTTGCCCAGGCAGGTCTCAAACAATTTAAGCAATCCTCCTGCCTTGGCCTCCCAAAGTGCTGGATTACAGGCATGAGGTACCATGCCTGGCCTTTTTACTTATTATTTTATTTTTTTAGAGATGGGATCTTGCTCTGTTGCCCAGGCTGGAGTACAGTGGCGTGATTTTGGTTCACTGCAGCCTCAACTTCCTGGGCTCAAACAATCCTCCCATTTCAGCCTGCTGAGTAGCTGAAACTACAGGTGTGTGACACTATGCCTGGCAAATTTAATATTTTTTTTTTAATAGATGGGGGTCTCACTTTTTTGCCCAAGCTGGTCTTGAACTCCTGAGCTCAAGCGATCCTCCTGCTCAGCCTCCCAAAGTGCTGGGATTATAGGCATGAGCCAGCCACTGAGCCTGGCCCCAAAATCTACCATCCTTTATCATGATGTGGTTTTTGAGATGCTGACTTCCAGCTCACATCGTAACACCCCAGAGGAGTCTTTGGGAAGAAACAGCTGTCAGTGTGGGGTCCCAGAAACATGGCATTAATATGGGTGGGAAGGTCTGATAAACCCTCAATCGAGTAAAGCCTAGGACTGGGTCTTTAAATCAGCCAAGGCCTGCCTAGAGGCATCTGCCCAGTTTCTGCTCTCTAACTAGGCTCCTTTAGGAAGGATAAATGTTTGAGATGTCTCTAAGAATCACATGCCACATTTTGCTCCTAGTTCCTTATGAATAGCCCCAGGCAAACCCTCCAAGATAGAAATGTAGACGGCCTACAGAGTAAAAGCCTGCTTGCTGAGAAGCAAACCAGGCCAAAATGCAGCAATGGGCAAATAGTTGAAAATGCTCTCCTGGATCTGGAACTCAAACTGTCAGGGCTGGCCAAAGGCAGAGGAAAGTCAGCCTGATGAGAAAGAACAGCAGGAAAAGAAATCAAGGCCTCCATGGGAGAAGGATGGAGGTATCTGTTAACTGTTGAGTAATACTTCTTTACATGATCTCATTGGTTCTTTCCGACAATGCTGTGATTAATAGACCATTATGACTGATGAGGAAATTTGGCTGGGCGAGGTGGCTCACGCCTGTAATCCCAGCACTTTGGGAGGCTGAAGCAGGTGGATCACCTGAGGTCAGGTGTTTGAAACCAGCTTGGCCAACATGGTGAAATCTTGTCTCTACGAAAAATACAAAAATTAGCCGGGCATGGTGGTGGGCACCTGTAATCCAAGCTACTTGGGAGGCTTGAGGCAGGAGAATCGGTTGAACCTGGGAGGCAGAGGTTGCAGTGAGCTGAGATCGTGCCATTGCATACTAGCCTGGCAACAAGAGCAAAACTCCATCTCAAAAAAAAAAAGACCTATGAGGAAATTCAAGTTTCTGAGACACCATTCCACTTTCTTTGGGTATCTCTGCACCTGAGACGTCCTGCAAAAATTTTAATCCCACTTCATATAAAAGCCATGTTTTGGGAACCTCAAGGTGACAGCCCTTTCTTCCAAAGACCCCTCTGGTGTGATATGTGAGCCAGAATTTTGCATTTTTGCTTGGGAGGAGTGATGCTAATCCTGTAGAAAAGCATACAACCATCCTTGCCACTGTTCCACACAGTTGTACATCTGATGAAGCTAATATCTTATTTGATCCTTTACATCTGCTCTACCCACTTACATGCAGTGACTGTGAGTTTGTTACCATAAAGCATTATGAACAACAGAGAATAAACGTTGTGATGGCATCTGAAAATGTCAAATCTACCACTCTTTCATGTTTCAATATGCCCCTCAATGTGCCTCCATAGAATGAAATTAACTCTTAGATGCAAAAGAGAATGAGTTCTCTTGTGTTTAATTTTCATGGAATACTCCTTTTCCTTAAAATGGGGGGTGGCGTGAGACAACAGAGAACAGAATTCCCCAAAAGGTCCAATAGGCCCAAGCAACCCCTGCTTCCTAACATGGTTCTATTAGGACAGACAAGGCCTGGAACACTGGTAAACAGAATAGAGGTAAGAATATTGTGCATTTAACAGGCCTTGCAGGCAGACAGTTTTTCTCTTTTTATCACATTACAAAGTAGATACCATACCTGGATCATTTGTTTAACCACTGCTTGTAATATGCAGCCACAGTACTTGAGCACGTCACCATTTCCGTGTCTGCTTTCCTTGATTAGCCCAGTCTCCCTGAGCGTCACAGTCATCTTCAGATACTTGGCATCTAGGAACCTCAAAAGTCAGCTACTGAGTACCTAGCAGGGCCTCGTTTGGTGACCCTTCACTGGTGTAACCCTGGTGTTACTCTTTTGACAGTAAGGAAACTGTGAGTGAAAGGTCACAAAACTAGGAAACAGTAGACCCAGGATTCAAACCCACGTCTCCTGACTGGACAGGCAGCCCCTGCCCCACACACCTGCAGAAGCCTCTAGTGTTCAGTTAGTGCTGGCGCCAACCACTCAGGCCGCACCTTGTCTCAGGTGGCCCTGTTTACCAATGGGCAAGGCCGCACCTGTGGTTAGGTCTTCGGGTCATCTGAAAGCCGTAACACTCTAAAAAGGGGGTTTCTATGAAGATCAATGGTGAATTTATGGGCCAAATACTTTGAAAAAATGATCAGATGTGGTGCAAATGCAAGCTAGGCATAACAAGTAAATGGTTATGGCTTTTTCTAGGAAAAAATCAGGAAATAGCCCTGCCACATGAATACAGACTAATGGAGATGAAATATTTCCTTTAAGCTTTTACTGTAGCAGTTAAGTTCAAAATACCTATAGTTACTGCATGAATCAGGAAGGAAAGACTAGTGGGGTGGGCCTGCTGGCAGGTCATCATGTGCAGGTTTATTGCAACTGGCTAAGAATGAATAAAGCTCTGTGCTCCTGGAAAACAGGTGTTTGTGAAGCCACCAGGGCTGCTCTGAGGTTTGTTTTTTGAGACAAGGTCTCACTCTGTCACCCAGAATGGAGTGAAATTATGCAATCATGGGTAATTTCCTGGGCTCAGGTGATCCTCCCACATCAGCTTCCCTAGTAGTTGGGACTACAGGTCCATGCCACCGGCCTGGCTGATTTTTTATTTTTATTTTGGTAGAGATGGGTTCTTGCTATGTTGCCTGGGCTGGTCTTAAACTTCTGGCCTCAAGTGATCTTCCCCCTCCCTTCCCAAAGTGCTGGGATTACAGGCATGAGCCACCGGGCCCAGCCTGAGTTCCTCTTGGGCAGTTGTTCCCAATGGGAGGATCAGAAGCACCTGCTAATTGTTTGCCCATATTCCCCAACAGAGTCTGATAATCTTTTTTTGAGACACAGTCTCTCTCTGTTGCCCAGGCTGGAGTGTAGAGGGGCGATCTCAGCTCACTGCAACCTCCGCCTCCTGGGTTCAAGTGATTCTCCTGCCTCAGACTCCTGAGTAGCTGGGATTACAGGTGCACGCTACCATGCCCAGTTAATTTTTTTGTATTTTTAGTAGAGACAGGGTTTCACCATGTTGGTCAAGCTAGTCTCAAAATCCTGACCTCATGATCCAACTACCTCAGCCTCCCAAAGTGCTGGGATTACAGGCATGAGCCACCATGCCCGGCCTTGAGTCTGATATTCTTGAGAGGAGAGAAAAAGAAAAAAAAGTTTATTCTGTGCTTAGCTCCCTGGGTGATTGTGGCCATGCCTCTCTCTCCTGGCTTAGCTGAGAACTGCAGCTTCTAAGTAAAGTCACTGTCCCCATGGAGCCAGGGCTTATTTGGTCCATGTCTCCTTTGGTGCCTCAAATCAAATCATAACTTTTTTTTTTGGAGACAGGCTCAACCTCCCCCGGGCTCAGGTGATCCTCCCACCTCAGCCTCCAGAGTAGCTGGGACTACAGGTGCACACCACCATACTCAGCTAATTTTTAAACTGTTTTGTAGAGATGGGGGTCTCACCATGTTGCCCAGCCTAGTCTCGAACTCCTGGCCTCAAGTGATCTTCCTGCCTCAGCCTCCCAAAGTGCTGAAATTACAGGTGTGAGCCACTGCGCCTGGCCCCATAACTCCTTTTTCTCTGTGGGTGGGAGTGTTCTGTGGTTAAAAACAAGGAGCTAAACAATCTGGCATCTTTTGTACAGTGTCATTCTGATAATTTGGAAACTCTAATTAATCCAATCCCACCCACCAGCTACCTGGGCCTCGTGAGGGACTAGGTGACCATGGACTTGTAGGCAGGAGTGGTGCTTATCTGTATAGACAACAGCCAGGCAAATCAGAGCCAGGGCCACAGAACCAGGGAGGGTCAAAGCTAGGACTTTTTTAGATTACCTAAGCCACCCTGCCTTTTAACACATGAGAAAACTAAGGTCCAAATATATTAGAGGAGCACCCTCAACCTCAGCTACACATCACACTTACCTATGGCACTTTACAGATGCCTGGCCCGAATCCCACAGGACGGTCCGATTCAACAGCCCTATGTAGGGGACTGTGGGATACTATGTTAAAGTGACTTGCCTAGGGTAACAGCCTGGGCTATACAGCCTTCTTTCACACCATACCACGATGTCTTTCTAAAGAAAACGAGTTTAAAGCAAACTAGTATCAATTATCCAATATTTAAGGCATTCTGAGAAGTCCCCTAACTATAAAACCTTTCCTAATAAATTGGTTGCTGCTGCAGATGAAGTCCAGGCCCCTTGTGATCTCTAAGCTTTCATGCCTACACTGAGTCTGAGGGAGCGGGGGCTGCTTAAGGAAGAGGCTGGAGGTTAAGCAGTCTCTCTCCCCTAGTCTGAAAGATAGTTATTCCACGAGGGGGACAATACAGACTACAGTTCCAGTGATGACGCTCATGCTCCTGCCCTTAGTTCCCCAGGGACTAAGAGGCAGGCAGGGTAAGGTCCTATAAAGACTAGGAATGGGCTGGGCACAGTGGATCACTTTGGGAGGCTGAGGCGGGTGGATCACAAGGTCAGGAGTTTGAGACCGTCCTGGCCAACATGATGAAACCCCGTTTCTACTAAAAATACAAAAATTAGAATAATGAGAACACATGGACAGAGGGAGGGGAGCATCACACACTGGGGTCTGCAGGGGGGAACTAGGGGAGGGACAGAAGGGGGGAGGGAGTTGAGGAGGGATAACATGGGGAGAAATGCCAGATAAAGGTGATGGGGAGGAAGGTAGCAAAGCACATTGCTATGTATGTACCTATGCAACAATCTTGCATGTTCTTCACATGTATCCCCAAACCTAAAACGCAATAAAATATATATTAAAAAAAAATACAAAAATTAGCCAGGTGTAGTGGGGCACGCCTGTAGTCCCAGCTACTGTGGAGGCTGAGGCAGGAGAATTGCTTGAATCTGGGAGGAGTAGGTTGCAGTGAGCCAAGATCACACCATTGGACTCCAGCCTAGCAACAGAGACTCTGTCTCTACCCAAAAAAAAAAAAAAAAAAAAAAAAAAAGCTAGGAATGAGCCAGGCTATACATTATGTTCTAGGGCATCCAACCTCACTGAACAGTGCCTTAATCTAGTGAACAGTCCTATTAACATGCCTACTGGGGAAATTTTACTATCATGTTAGAACCTCCCATTTCTTGAAGGCACTGGATGAGACTAAACATTATTGCACTGAATCTGGATTGTGCTTTCGCATGATCAGTTTTATAATCATTCTTCCTTCCAGAGTCTCGCCCAAGCAACTGGATCACAAATAAGCACACTGCACTATTAAAATTACATTATAGTGCTCGCTTCGGCAGCACATATACTAAAATTGGAACGATACAGAGAAGATTAGCATGGCCCCTGCGCAAGGATGACACGCAAATTCGTGAAGCGTTCCATATTTTTGATAATAGACTGGATTGGAAAAATGTGGCACATATACACCATGGAATATTATGCAGCAATTAGAAATGATGAGTTCGTGTCGTTTGTAGGGACATGGATGAATCTGGAAAACATCATCCTCAGCAAACTGACACAAGAACAGAAAATGAAACACCGCATATTCTCACTCATAGGTGGGTGATGAAAAATGAGAACACATGGACACAGGGAGGGGAGTACTAAACACTGGGGTCTATTGGGGGGAAAAGGGGAGGGCCAGTGGGAGGGGGAGGTGGGGAGGGACAGCCTGGGGAGAAATGCCAAATGTGGGTGAAGGGGAGAAGAAAAGCAAAGCACACTGCCATGTGTGTACCTACGCAACTGTCTTGCATGCTCTGCTTATGTACCCCAAAACCTATAATCCAATAAAAAATTAAAAAAAAAAAAAAAAAAAAAAAAAAAATTACATTATAACCTGCCTCTTATTGAATGATCTGGCAAGTAGTATAAGCCTTAGTATCATGTGTGGGCTGTTACTCAAGCTCTATTCTCACATCTCATCTGAACACATGAGCCAAGCTGACCAGTGTGAGTATTCCCCAGGGCTCACCTTCAGCCAGTGCCAATGGCAACAGTCCTGACTCTCAGAATGACATGTGGGATGGAGAAGATTATTAGACTTGCAAATAAAAACCAAGTTCAGATCCCCAGGAAAGGTTAAAAACAAAACACACTAGGCCTCATACATGTTTCATATACATATTTATATATATTTCATGTACAAAGTTACATTCTGAACCCCAGGGATTCCAGCATAGAAATAAATACTGAAATAACTACATTGCGAAATGAGCTTTTTGCTCATAGAAATGAAGCTCAGTCTCTAAGAGACAGCAAGTGGGACATTATAGAACCCATTTTTCAGATTATAGAGGCAAGTAAAATTCTGATAGAATGTCTTGGACAAAAAACGAATTTGGAACATAAAATGGTTAAGATATATTCAAATATTGAGAAGTATATGACAAAATTAATAAAACAACCTTTCAAGAGAAAAGACAAACATTTAGTGTTACAGAATAGCATAACCCTGTTAGAAAAGCATTTATGATTTCCATATTTCATTTTCTCTTCTACATTTCTCATGTTACAAAGTGGGACCAAATGAGTCCCTTTCTGAACATGATCAATTGAGAAGAGCCCTAAATCTGGTTCAGTCCTTTGGTAATGGTCATAATACTCACAAGGAAATAAATATTCTGTTCCATGGCATTTGCAAGACACGTGTTCTTTAGGACAGTTAATATTATGAGACATCTGTTTTATTTTGTTACTAAGGCAGCCTATGTTAAAGGGTCTAGTCTCAAATGTAGAAAGACCTTTATGAGAAATAAACAATGCAGTAAGTGAAAAAATTGATTTTAACCTTTTCTGTGCAAACACAATCTGAAAAGTTTATGTGCTGCATATTGTGCTCAAAATGTTTTATACTCTCCACAAGCTGTAGCTATTAAGTGATTCCTTCCTATTTTTAAAATTTAGATCCACAGGAGTTAGAGAAAAATACTCTCAAAAGTAAGTTCCTAGAGAATATTATCCCTTTGCCTCACAGAGACTTTAACTTGCATTTAATAGTATTAGGTTGAGGCATATGATACTGTCACTTTTGTAGATCAGCAATGGTTGAACATTGGCATTTTCATATGGTTCAACCTTGTACATGACCCAAGTATAATAAAATGAGAAACCCTCAAGTATCCCTTATTTCTTCCCACTTTTTTTGCACGATGAGATCAATCCGAAGTACACAAGCCTCTTCTCTGCCCTTGATGTGGTGGCTACAGGCAGTTACACTCCTTTGCTGCTTGTAAGAAGCAGCTTACATTTTGGCATTTTCTTCCAAAAGTTACCATGTTGACCAAAGTAAACATTACAAGAATATAAACCTGCTATTGGGGGAAAAGGGAAGTGAAGCAATCTGTAGAAAATATTTAACCGAAATTACAAACATAAAGACAGGCCTTTAAAAGAAATTATGCAGGCATTTTTGTCCTCTCTCTGATCCCTGAAGTTAATTAACAGGGCCACAGATAATCTGACATCTTTAGATAAAATAACTACACAACTATATTACTTAAGTTAAAGCCAGTAAGTTCAAAAAAAGCAATTACAACCATTGTTACATGTTTATATTTTTCATCTGTAACTCCTGATTTCCTAAATTACATTCATTCATACAAACATGGCTGAACAACAGCAAATGGGATCTGACTCTGGGATGTTTACTTCTTGGGATTAAAATTCCCAAACACTTTGGTGTCTCTTTCTTGTGAATCTATACATTTCCAATAAATGTTTCATAATGATTTTTTAAAAGATATTGCCAAAAATGGCTCAGATTTAAAATGAAATAAAAACATAGCAAACAAGCTATGAAAAACTAGCCTAAGGTTTGGTACCCTGAAAAAAAGTGACTAAGTAGCTCAGGCGAAAAATGATCCTTTTAATACAGCTTTTACCAAAACAGTTTTCTTTTAATACATGAGTG